GTTCCTTGTCTCAATTAACTCCTTGTCCCTCTCGGTCCAGTTCTTGTCTCTTCATTCAAATCAGGCAGCTTCCTCCTCCAGGCCGCCTGGGTGAGAGCAGGTGGAGCATTGAAAGCACTGGAGAGACAGCATCCCTGCTCTCAGTTCTGGTGCCCAGCACTGGCAGCAGCTCAGCACTGCAATTGCAGGGAAAGTCCCAGGCTGGAACATGTCCAGTGAAGACAGAATAGTTGGAGATTTTAGCTGTGAAGCTCTAGTCAGCCTCTTCTGAGGATGTAAGAACTGAGATTTTTCTAAGCCTTACAATTCAGCCAAATTTGGGCAGATTTTTACAAGAATGGCAAAAAGGCTGACCAAAAGCCCCCCCCCCTGCCCATTTTAAGTCCCTGCTCCAAAGCATGGGGGTTCTAGAACTTCTCAAGGAAAGGTCTCAAGAGTGTTTTTAACATGGACAAAAAGTATTTTTCATAGCCTTGAAAGAGCAGAACTGTTTAGGCTGAAAATTTCCAAAATAAAAAATCATCCGGAGTCAAAAATCTGGCATGGAAAATTTCAGTCAAATGGTTAAAGTTTGACAAAAAGTGATAAGCAACTGAGAACAGGGTCTTATAGTGGAGAGAGTTAGGCAACCTCAGTAACAGATGATGTTACCAACTCGGCCTATAATTAATTAAACTAAGGTCTGGAAAAATACAGGTCTGTCTCATCTTACACTGGGGTTACGTTCCGCAGTCAGCGCCTAAAGCGAGAATCGCGTATAGTCAAAATTATATTGAGAGTAATGGCGGGCGGAATCGCCCGCACTACAGAAACAGTATTTAAATTGTTAATTTTCTCTTTTTGTTTTTGTTTTTGCCGACCGCATAAAGCTGAAATGGCGCATGTTAAATGCGCCTAAGATGCGACAGACCTATAGTAGTTATGTGGTACTTGCATTAAATTGGACTCATTGCTTCACACTATTTTTTCACACTTATATTATAATTAAGCTCATGTCCTTCAACTAGGATATATTTTATTGTTAGAAATTTTGTCAAGCCTTAGTGGGGATAGCCTAACATAAAAACAGTAGAGAGGGCAAATAGGTCTCTGTACCCACAGGGCATTTTAAACCTATTTCATGTTTCATGGAGCATTGTGCTTGGTTAAATAATAGATTGTGACCTAGAAAGATGAATAGGGATGGCTAAGTCGACCACGATGCCAATTCTATCATCAGCATAGTACAATACTTTCAGCTACGTTATTATTCTTACCATAATAGTGCTCACAGTGTGATAGGCGCTGTCCAACAATATGAAGTGGGACACAATTTATGCCCTAAAGAGCTCACAGTCTGAGACTCTCTCAGTTACTTCAGTTCCAAGCACTTCTTCAGTGATAAATAGGACTTCTGTGAAATCTGGTCTTTTGTGTGCTTTTACCCTATGCTATACAGATTTCACAGGGGAGACCAGTGTTCGGTATTTGGTAGGGCCCTACTAATAAATGACTGAGCTCTGCAAAACCACAGGCAGTAGTTTACTGAACCAGATTATGAGGCCCTGCCAGCTATGAATTGCCAGTCATGCCACATTGGTAATGAGAAGCACAGAACCAGGTATAAAACTGGAAACAATGACAGAAGTATGTAAGAAATAGTCAACAGCTACTGATTAGTCAGAAGGGGACACAGTGATACCAGGAAGTTTCTCTGAACTCTGGTGTGCTCAGCTACCTAAAACAGAAAGTCAACGCTAGAACAAGATCCTAGGCAATTTCAGTGGGCAGCAGAAGTTTCAAAGAGAGCACATTTCTGCAGGGACAACTCTTCTGTAGCTGCCAGCCTGAGCCTTACAAAAAGGAGAAAAAAAGAGCAGGAGATCAAAACTAAGAGAAAAAAGAAGGATGTACAGTAAGACAGCAGTGTTCAGTAGGGGAAAAAGCTCCCAACAAAAAAACCAACTTCCCTCTACTTAATTTCAATATCCTGCATAAATTTTCCCATTGAGGATTACAAGGGCAATCAGAGCTCACGAAAGGGCTACCAATACCTGCTTTTTGTAGTCCACTAACTACAAATCAAGTTAATTTATTTATTAATTTAACCTCTTTGACATTTGTATATGATACAGTATTTTAAAGGTGAACCAATTCAACTCAGTTGCCCATGTTGATTAAATAGAAAAAACTTGTATCTTCCTCTCTGTACTTCCTTCAGAATGTTTATTATTATTAGTATAGTGTAGAAGAAAGAGGAAAGTGGAAACCAAAAAAAAGCATACGCAAGAAGGATCAGTCAGACAAGGGATGAAAACCATTCAGCCCCACTTTTTCCTAACCTTTCCTATTGATCTCTATCTTTACACAGAATGCCACAACTATGTACTCCTTCTGTTCTAGATGTGGGACTCGAGACTGATCAATTAATCTAAATTTAAAATAGTTTAACAAAAAATGGATTCTGATTTTAGACCAGCAGGTAATTAGTCTGCTACCCTATGTGCTTTATCTTATATGAGAGATAGCAAAGTGGACATGAGTATCCAATGAAAGAGTAGGCGTCTTGATATTTTGACCGCATAAAATTAATGATAACTCAGTACACTGAAATATACAGTTTATTTCCTCAAAGTGAAGCAGTACGATTTGTCAGTAGGTAAATGTTAAGTGTCAAGCAAGAAAACTGTACACATTTTCACTCTGGGTTGCAAAATCCAAACAACTGGAAAAACCTGACAGAAATCTTTCACTATACAAAGAGATCTAAAATTGAGAGATGACATAAGGTGAAGTAGCAGCCATCACCTAATGATGCCAAAGGCAAAATATTAGCACCAGAATTTTTTTAAAGCAACAATATATCTATTTACAGATTTACATATAACATTGGGAGACAGCCATCTTCTGGTCCCAACTAACAGAGCTTTTGAGCACAATTTAAAAAGAAGAAAGTGGGACATGGTGAATATATATACTGCTTTGTGAAAACGACAATATATATAGCACTTTCAGTATTGCTATCTTTTTAAGAAAGATCTAAATCAAAGTACTGTACACACATAATGAAATTATATTATTATTCACAGTCACATTTCACATACACATCAGAGTAACCACAATATGTAAAAATTTTTAAAAAGTCACAGGTAAAACAATGCACACTACTTGACTAAAGCTAAACATAATTTATTTGGGAATTATTTAGCTTAGGGTTTCTTATGGTAAAAGAATGGGTCCAAAGAGAAAACTCACTGGTCCTAGTATCAATTAACATAGCAGCAAATATTTGTGGGATTTCATTAGAAGTCTAAGTTTTGTAAACTGTAAGAAGAAATTAAGGCCAGATCATCAGGTAGTCTAAATCAGTAGCTCCATTTGATTTTGATGGAGTTGATTTATACCAATTGACGATCTGGCCCAGGATACATGAATTAAGAGCGTATAATAGGCAAAATGGTCCTTTTAACATTTATAGCTGTCTGCGAAGGGCTTGGTTTTAGAGAAGTTTTTGTGCCAAGTCCCTGCAATGCAAGCAGTTCACTGATCAGGAAAAAGTGACCAAGAGAAGCACTGAAAAAGGAGGATTCTGATAATAGACAAAGAACCTTTTGTCAATATTAAAATTGCAGGAATAGTGTAAAGAGTTGATTTTCTCTCATTCTGTTCAAAGAGTTTGCTACAGACTGGTATCCACGTCAGCCTTAAAAGTAGCTCCTTGTTGCAGAATCTGTTTGTTATCGAAACACAAAGATAAAGGGCTTTCTTTATATAATTTATATAATTTAAATACATGAAGCTAAGATTTCCCTTTGCCCTTAAAAGCTATATCTTAACGTAGAGATAATACATGTATACACAGAGCAATTCTGTAGTATTTGTAGGAGATCAAATCAGTTAATCCCATCATTGTGTTAAGAGATGGGTTAGCATGATGCAAATTATCAGAGTTTTACTGGATGGCAGTGTTACTATATCACCTCCAGTAGTCTTGGACTGACAAAATAGTGTCCTATCATTAAAGTGTATATGTCAACATGTGAAGTGAAAAAAATACAGATGTTCACAGTTACAAACCAGAGTTACTCTGAATACTGCATTGAACTCACGTGGCCTAGGAGTACTTACGTGGCCTAGGTGTTTATATTGCATTTGGTGGTGAGGGAAGGAAGAAAGAAATAGCATTACATGGGTCATCTTGAATATAATTTAACCATTTATATAAAAAAGGTGAACCGTTGAACAAACAGAAGGAAAATAAAAGCAGTTTGATTTGTCCTGTTAACTTAGTGACTCTTTCCTACAAGGTAGCTGTGCTGGGGGGAAACCCAAAGCAGCAAATAGATTTTCCAAATAGTTTAGTTGATAAATGAATTGACCCAAACTGGCAAGGCATCCTCAGTCCCATTTTTGAAATCAAATAACTTGGTAAGAAAAATGTTACAATATAAATGGGCCCACAACTGTTTCTATGCCATGCCAACCCCCTCACCCCCCCCCCCCACAAAAAACCAACACCACGATGTTTCTCTAAACCATGTGTTCTTAACTTGAGTAACATAGATCTTAAATGATTTTCAAGTTGGTTTAGCCAGTAGCCAGCTGAGATTGGTTTTGAAATTATTTTCTGAAAGGAGAAAGTGAGAACTTTTCTTATGAGATACGTTACAAAGAAAAAGTGTCTGATGTACCAGGATCAAAGTGAGAGCAACCTGAATATAATATTAGACACATGACACACACTTCTCCTACTTGATGTGACTGTAAAAAAAAAAAAAAAAAAAGCCCTAAAATTAGAGCTTTTTTATTCATTTGCTTTTGGGCTTCCCAGCAGTTTGTACAGCATCTGAAGACAATAAACACTATCACATAACTTATTTTGAAAATCGTTATTGTTTGCATGCACTATTGCAACAGACTTCACAATATACTGAATTCAAAGCTTAGAATCTAGCCTCTGCCTCCTGCAGAACTTTCTATAGGATAGGTTGAGAGACAAAGAACAGTTATAGAGTTGGGGATTAAAAAGAGGGTTTAAAAAATTAAATACATCATCCAAACAACAAGAAAGATCATTATTGCTAGAGTAGCTATTTTTCTCCTGTCTAACTCTGCCTACTAGACACAGATACAAGTCAGGGTTTTCACTTGCATACTTGGAAACTGTGCCCAACCACCAGTTTTCAAGTCTTTGGTCAGGCCTTGACCTCTTATTTGAGCCTTTCAGGTTGGAGGCTGTCGGTCAGACACTTGAGTTGCTCCTCCCCCAGCTTGATCTTGTCCTCTAGCTCTCTCTGCTCAATGATAAGGGCTGACTTCATCTTTACAAAGTGCTCATAATCTGCTAGGCTCTCTTCGCTTAGATAGTTAGCCAAAATGTCAAAGACAATACGCTCCCGTCGGTCCAGGTTTTCCTTCAGTTCTTTCGCATCTTCATGCTGTTGAGTCAGCAGCTTCTGCTTCTCTACCAATGTCCGCTTAAGAGAAAGAGAAACATATTACAGATACCAGTTCAAGACAAACAGTTTTCTGGTCAACATTGAAGTCAATTTTACCTGCAGGGACAAGGGTGAAGAGGTGTGTGTATGGCGGACTGGGACTAAGGGCTTGTCTATGCAAACAATTAGTTTGTGGCAAGGTAGGAAGCGCACGTACACCACAGTAGCCTGCCGTGGACTAACTGTCTGTGTGGCTCCTGCTGACACGCACTAACAATTTGTTAATGTGCTTTGATCTAGTCCCATTTCAAAAATGACTAGATCAAAGTGAATTAACAACCTGTTATGATGAGTCAGCAGGGTCCACACAGACAGTTAGTCCGTGGCAGGCTAGTTGGGGTACATTCACACCCACATTTCCTATGAACTCAATGTTTTTGTAGATAAGCCATAAAACTGCTGCTTAAAGGTGAACTTCATCTCCCAACTGCCACTGAGTTCTGATAAAATAAATTAATAGAAGGGAATTAAACCGGCAGAGACAGTAAAGCACTTAGGAATACATTTTATAAACACTAGTAAGTAAGGTCCTTATCAACTACTTTAGTGCTTAATGGTTTACAGGAAGAATTATAACAAATACAGCTGCCAGTGGGAAGCACTAACATGAAGTAACATGGATGCCATTCTGATTTTCAGAAATAATTTGCAAGATCTACTTGCAAGTGTAACCAGCAATGAATTAAACCCAGATTAGGTCCCTGAAATGACTGCCAAAGCATCAAACGGTGAAAACAAACTGCTTGGGGTTGAGAAGAGTTGAAAGAGAGCTTTTCATTATGCTTAGGGCCCTACTAAATTTGCAGCCGTGAAAACACGTCACAGACCATGAAATCTGATCTCCCCCATGAAATCTGGCTATTGTAGGGGAGACCGGATTTCAAGAGTTGGGTGGGTGGAGAGCGGCGGCTGCTGGCTGGGAGCCCCGCTCTGAAGGCAGCAGCACCACCGCAGAAGTGAGGTGGCATGCTATGGGGGATCATCACTTTTGGGGAGGGAAAGGGCTGGCCTTATGGGTGGGCAAGGGGGTGACCACCTGGGGTGATGGGGTCACCACCCCGCCACACACACACAGCCAGCCCAAGGCCTCTTTAACTTCTAAGCGCTGAGCTCCAGCTGCTAGTCCTGGAGGGGCTAAGGAGGGCCAGAACTTGTTCCTCTGCATGGGCTACTCCTGAGGCTGGATTAGACCCATCTCTGGGAACCTCCCCTAACTGCAGGAAGCTCCGCGGCTGCTGGCTGGGAGTCCAGCTCTGAAGGCATCGCAGTCTCCAGCAGCAGCGCAGACGTCAGGGTGGCATAACATGGGTCTGGTATTGCTACCCTTATTTCTGCTCTGCTGGTGGCAGTGGCGCTGTCTTCAGAGCTGGGTGCCCGGCCAGCATCTGCCCTCCAACTGCCCAGCTCTGAAGGCAGAAGTACAGAAGTAAGGGTGGCAATACTGCAACCCCCCATAATAACCCCATCCCCACGACCCCATTTTGGGTTGGGACCCCCATGATTATAATACCATGACATTTCAAATTTAAATATCTGAAACTGTGAAATTTACGATTTTTAAAAGCCTATGACTGAAATTGACCAGGATGGACCATGAATTTGCTGCATACTAATCCAATATGAACCTGATAGGGTTTTCTACCTTACTGTAATGTGCACTTTTCTAATCAGAAGTAAAGGCATATGATCATGGGGAATGGGTGCGGGTGAAAGTAGGGGCAGAGAAGCAAAAACAAAAGCACAGCCCCTCCAAAAGATCAGTCTCTTCTCACTAGTCCATGTGTCTCTGCTGCTGGTACCCTGATACATCAAGCAACCAGCTCTGTGGAAATCTCGCCTGACTTTTTATTCTGAGACACACTGGTGCACTGAATCTAGACATAGCATCCCCTTCATTGTGATGAACTGCTATGCCCAAGCAAAGCTGCTTCTCTGTGGTGACCTGGAGCATCAGCAGGGGGACAAAACAACAGGCAGAAGAGAGCTGTGCATGGAAGAAGAGACAAGGATGGAGATTCTGTTTACACACATGCATCTAGGCAAAAAATGTGTAATCGTGTGTCATGTTTTCAGCTTCGTTCCCTAAGTAAATTCTCCTTTGAGTGTCTGCGCCATCAAGTGACAGTATCTGTTTGTACTTAGTATTAGAAAATGATTCATGTTACAAGAAGGCTAAAAACATACAACTACATGTTAATGTGCAGAATTCCCAGTAACACTAAAGGAAATTATACACATCAACAGGAGAATTTGCATACAGAAAAAAAATCCATGAAGATGGAATTAAAGTTCAGACTAATTTGATGCTGAGAGTAATTTGACAGTAAAAATTCTTATAAAATGTGCTAAGGATAGCATGCAACTAAAAGACATTTCAGAATTAAAGTTCAACTTCAAGAAACAAACGCTTGAAAATGCTGTTAAAATAGGCATGAAATCCTAACTCTGCTTCTGTGACACCGGCCTCATATCTGCTCCTCTTCTCCCCTCCTTGCACACCTAATTTCATAAGCTATTTTTGTAACAAGGTCTTTTCACAAGGGCATGGAGGTGGGAGAAGATTATTTTCTTCTCCCACAAGGTACTAGTATGTGTGTGCACATGGGGAAGATACACTCAATCCCCAGATTCTTCCTAGAACTCAGAAATGCTGTTTGGAGAGGTCCTAGCAATGGGACTCCATTTCCCATGGAAGAATGAGCGGTGAGGGAGGAGATAAGTGGAGTTGTCTTAGGCAGCAGCACTGTTAGCTTCCACTAGTGCCGCCACGGAAGCCAAGAGCAGGAACTTTTGGGGTGTGAAAAAGGGATGAAAATCTTACTGGTGTCAGTCCCTTTTGGTAGGATATGGAGGCAAGAAGATGTCACGAGCAGGTTATGAGCTCTGATTGTTGGTGGCTGTGGGGGTAACAAGCCAAAATTTGGTGACATGCTATGCCTTTTCCTAGGGGTTTTTTTGGGGGGGAGGGGGGGTAGAGGGGCAGAAGAGATGGGGAATCAATGGCAAACCTCCCTAGAAACTGGTTTACAATTTGAAGACCCCTGCAAGGCAAAGGGCCAGTGACTTTTGTTTTTAAATGAAAGCCTAAGTATCTCCCAGCCATATCATGCCCTTTTAAAGTCCACCACTGCGCAATGGACCATTCATATAGTCTTAAATTGCTAGTGAACACCTTTGCAAACATGCCTTTCCTGCATCAAAAACCAATCCTCCGCTCTAGATCTTTTCAGGAAAGATTTTTTACGACATGATTAAAAAGCCGTGTTTATTAGATCCAGGTCTTTAAAAAGTGTGTCCAAGTTGTGCAAAAGACTGCACTGGGGCCACAGGCCAGCAATGCAAAGTCTGACGAAGAGAGGTGCTTTTTTCAGCTTTTAAAAAAAATAATATAATAAACAGGAATCTAAAGTCAGACTTGCAAAGGAAGCAAGTCTGTTTTAACTATGGAGAGACTGTGGCTACCAGATAATACTATATATCAATAAGTTTCCATTTCTCTGCTGTTACAGAAAGATTAGTAATGAATACCTCGGTCCTTAAAATCCTTCCAAAAAACCTACTTCTGCTGAGATTTCTATAAATCACTACTGTCTGGCACTGACCAGGTAAATGGGAAGCCATGATTTCCATTTGTCTGTCAAACCTTTTTTTTTTTTTTTTTAAACACTGTGTTCCCATTTAGCCCCACCCCATTTCTCTACTTTTTGTCCACTACTGCATCCTGTCAGTTCTTTAAAGCAGGGACCATTGTCTTTGTTACATGTCTGTACAGTATCTAATGTAATGGGTCCCGATCACTGACTGGGGTCCTTGGTGCTGCCATAATACAACTTAATAATAGTACAGTGTCGACAGTGCGTATGGACTGGAACTCAAATACAATCTGTTCATTTTTAAGCATCTCAAATTGCTGAGTCAGACAATTACTTTTAGTTTGTTCTCCCCCACTTATATTTTCGTTTGTTAAAGAAACAGGAGGCTACTCTGCTCATCATCTTTCATCAAGGCACTTGTCTTTTAGTGTTTTAGAGGGAAAGGCATGTCAGTGCTTTTAAACAACCTGCTCTCCTAAACCTGGGCACAAAGTGTCATGCATTCTTCAGGGCCAAGCCACTTGTAGTGAGTGTAGTCTGAGTGGAGGCAAGGCAAGGTTATGAGTATTAACGAGATCTAATGAAAGCAGCCTGATGTGAATCATCAGCACACCAGTTTTCTTCCCTCCACTCTCTTGCCCACCTGTTTTTCAAATAAAAAAAGCCTACCACGCTGGCTCCTTCAATACCAAAATAACACTATTGCCCTTTAGCAACCTGCCTTACCCGTTCTTCAGGAGAGGCATTTTCATCCAAGTTATTCAGGGCATTTTCCACCCGGGCCAGACGACCTGACAGTGACAGCAGCAGGTTGACCACTTTGTCCAGGTCCCCGATGAACATCCGGAACTTGTCAAACTCATTAGGTTTGCAGACCTCTTTCACAATAGCCTCCACCTCATCTCCTAGTGCATTGTTCGCTTGGATGTCTTCCAGGAGTGTTTCCCGAGCTTCGCGCAGCACCTGCAGCTTCCTACTGATGCTGTCAATGAGTTTTTGCTGTGGACAACAAAAGGGGAGTAAGAATTTATTAGCGACACTTGACCCAGCAGAGATGGAAACAGAGGTTTCCCTCCATGCATTCTGTTCCAATAGCTCAGGAAAAAAAGTCACATATTGCTCTCTGCTGAAAAGTGTCAGTAGCAATGGTAAACTACCCCAAACTTCAGCATCAGACTCCCCTCCCCTCCCAGAATATATCCGTTTACAAAGCCCAAAACAAAACAGGACCCCTCTACCATAGATTCTTAGGCCTCAATCTTCCTCTCATTGAGGTCATCAGCAACACTCTCACTGACTGAGAAGAAGCTGGATCATGTCCTTAATTTGCTTTGTTACATGGCAAACCCCCAAAGAAACACCAGCCATTGATTCTGATTAGCAGTGGGCTGTGCGTTTATGACTGCAAGGGAAACTGTGATTATGGCATTGTTGTCCAACTAGAGAATTCAAGTCTACAGATAAAGTTTTTCGCATGCACATTAGCTTACATTTCATTGCTAAAAAAGGCTTTCAAGCTTCAGGAGAATTACTTCACATGGCAAGAAATCAAAGTTACTCTATCTTGTTTTTTCTCCACCAGGGAAAGGGGAAGAAGAAAGGAATCTGTTCTCTGTCACTCACTGGGTTCCCGGGAGTCTCTCCATTTCCTCCCTAACCCTGTTATAGACACTCCTCTGTGATAGATTAAGGGCAAATCTGCAACTCTGTCCACCATGGAGCTCAGATGTCAGTCCATGGAGTAGATCACTTCACTTAAGACATATAGCCAGCTGGCCAGAGAGCAAGGAGGTGCAGGTGTTCACAGCTGATTCCTGGCCCCAATTCTTTTGTCCTCATCATCACACTACGCGTTACAAGAATTCTTCAATGTCTCACATGTTGATGGTGTCACTCATTTAAGCCCCAAAGTTATCTGCATCCCACAGAAATCTAGTCTCCCCTCACTTTTATGTAGAAAGCTGTTTACACAAGAAGCAATGAATCACAAAAGTATTATTAAGGATTAAATACCAGCATCACTGCATGAATTTTTTTGTATCCCTGTCACACAATGCAACCCACATCTGGGGCTTGGCAGGTTGAGAGGTATGTACATTACAGACATATGATGTTTATCTAGACCTTGATAGTGTTCTGGATTCAAAATATCAGGACACAAACTTTTGATGGACTTAGGTCTACATTACCCTTAGCTTGAGTGCCCACCCTTTGGCAATTCACCACCATGGCAGAAGACAAGACGTCCTTTGGAGCTCACTACTGCTACCCCTTAGATCAGCTTCAAATTTTCAAAAGCCGATTACTGAGTAGCAAAAGTACTCTCTCCTCCTCAAAGACTATCCCCACAGCACTCTCAAGCATAACCATTCTTGAGGTGGAGGCTGATGGTGCTAAGCGAAATATGGGCATAAAAAGCTAGTCTTCCACATGCTAGGCTAATATTAACACATGGCCTACTATGCTGTTGGAATCTTTTACTTCCTGCCAGGCACGGCCCAGCTCCCGGTATTGTGACCTAGCGCACAGAGTTGTAGCACTGCTCAAGTGTGGCCCAGCTGCCACTCTGTCATCATGTGAGGGGGGGCCAGGCCAAATGTGAGTGATGCTGCAATTCCATGTGCCAGGTAGCAATGCCTGGAGTGGGAAGCCGGGCACCAACTCTGCAGAACAGCGGCTGCAGAAGCCACTGCTGTGGGGTGAATTTTTCATTTTATGTAATTTTTTATGTTTTTCCCCCTTTTATTTCATGCTATTTTGTATTTGTGAAAAACATGGGGCTCAAATAATTAGTACTTCTACAGCACCTTCCATCAAAAGGTCTCAGAGTACCCCAAAAACGCAGCCCCTAACATCCCTGTGAGGTAAGTATTATTTCCATTTGATAGAGAGGGAAACAGACTTCCCCCTGGCCATGCAGTGAGTCACTGCCAGAGCAAAACTAGAGCCCCAGTCTCCCGACTGTGTTCTCTGTTGTTACCATGCTGCCTTCCTAAAAAAATTCTTCCTTTGGGCAGGGGTCTTGTGTGCCTGTAAAAGACAACAGCATGCCTCATCTTTCTGTAAATAGTAATCATTTTTCACGTGATAGCGTCAATTTCTAATGCAGGCTATATTGTCTAAGATGGTAATTACTTTGCAATACCACTTTACATGTTTGTTTTTCTTTTAAGTGTCTTTATTTCATGGCACACTTGTCAGGAACTCTGATTTCAACCAACCAATTGAATACGTACAATTAAACAGAAACCCATCCCTGTTTCCCAGGAATGTGTTACCGACCCTTACACCGTACATAGGAAGGTATAGCCATTTTCAGAGTTACACAGAGAAAGCATTGACAGTTTGTTTTGGGAACCACCTGTAACTCAGCCACCCTACTAACAGAGGCCAACTGTAGCTTAAAACCTAACAAAGAGTACTTCTGAAATCAAACATATGGATTATCTGGGCTGGCTCTATCCTGTTTTGATTTAATATTCTCAGGCCAGGTTAATCTGTATTGGGGTTATCTGTTTGTCTGGGTGTCCAAAAGATTAAGGTAGTAAGCAGTTTTACAGATGCAGGCTCTACTGACTGATTAATCTGAACGATTTGATTTTTTGTTCCCTCCTAAATGCAAATGAAGTTTGATTTGTATTAACTGGGTCAGGCTGCTGTAGTCCTATTTCCTAGGAAGCCATGCAATTTAATAATCCTACTATTTTATTACAAGATGCATGATTAAATATAGTCATACTCTGTGCTATATTGCCCTGCTAATATGGACCTGATTTTCCGCAATTCTTGTTACTTTAAATAATAGCAGAGAAACTGACTGGATCCTTGTTAATTTCACTCAGCAGCAGCTTAGCAAAGGGAAGCTATTAGCAGCAGCAGAGGCAATTGTACTGTCTCTCTGCAGGCTTAGGAAGTCAGCACTACACTGGGTTTACACTTGTGGGTTTGCACTCAGTTCTCTGCCTCATTTCACACTAGATTCATGTCTGAAAAGACTAGAAAACCTCCCACTTGCCATGGGTAGATTTTTCAAACCCAATATAACTTCAAGGTCCCTTTTATTACCTCCCTACATCTATTCAAATCCATTTATATTATTATATTTGTGCTAATCATATTGTTCCTCAATAAATATATTGCTTTACATGACCACAACATTTCATTTATTAGGGAGACTGTCTCTAATTATTTGTAATAGATGTGCGCAATTTCTCTGCATAAAATTCCCACACCCATCCTGAGTGTTCATCATCATTTTATTATTTTAAATAAATAAGAGGACAGCAAGTATATTGCAAAAACAGAGAATGGCAGGTGTAAACTGGTCCTGGAAAACCCGCCGTGAATCCCTAGATTGGACTAAAAGCATGATTTCCCATAATAGAACTGGTGAGTTTCAATGAATTAAGAAACAGGTTCAAAGCATACAGTGTCTTTTAGTAGACTGACAAATAAATGACAATATTCAAGCTTTCAGGCCCCAAAGGTCCTTTTTTTCAGCAGCTGGCAGTTATGTGCAATTGGACCATGTTATAGATCTTGGCAGTTTTATAAGGACGGCTTGACCCATTTACTGTGATTTGCATACACTGCATGACGAGATCTCAGATGAAAGCCTGCTGGATTGAGAGCTCACATTCCACTGCATGCAAAGGAGCAGATGGGTGAGTAAACAGGAATGTGTACATCACAGACATGAGAGAGGGAGGCTGTCTAGTAACACTAGACATGGACACACTTCTCAGACTGTATAATCTGTGTTTAGTGGTGTGGGGGAAGTGATGAAGGGGAAATATGTTTTTCATATAAACAGACACCACCACAAATAAAGAACATTTTGACTGAGAAGCTTGTGGATTGTCGTTTGTTGGTTGGGTCAAAGAAAACTGTTTCAATTTCGAACTTGTGTACTTTTTCCTCAATCAACATGACCAGAACATTTTTCTGTCTGAATCAATGAAAACAAAAAAAAAAACCACAATGATTGGCATTACACGGACCAGATAAAATGAAGCAAGAATCATGAATGCTCTTCTCTAGTCTAATAATTGCTTAAAACTGCAATGGAATCCTTAACATATCTGAACAGTTTTTAAAAACAATTTCCCTTTTATTCAATTAAAGGTCATTCCTACCAGTTTTGATTACTAACTGAATACTGGAGGTTGATCGTGACAGTTTACGTTCACTAAAGAAGATATCCCAGAACTGAAGGCAGCTCCTTCCCTGGTATTGCTGTTTTAAGCAAATATAGTTAAAACTAGACCACTGTTAACACAGAAACAGATGGCTGAATAGCACAACAGATGGTTTCCCCCAGTTTCTCATGACAGGGAAGCAAAGTTAAACTCGATTTGTGCCAAATGAAGAGAATCTGGTGCTCTCAATCTAACTAAGCTGACACTGTACAACAACCACAAAATCACCACTTCACACAGATTCTCGGGACTGGAATACTATGCAGGTCAAGACTAAGGTGCCACAGGGATCTGTGTGTGTGTACAGGACTGTGGTTAATGGTGATGCGTGAACCGAGCACCCACCAAACTGCCTATTTAGCTCCAGTCAATGTTATCAGGCTCTTGAGTTCATGAGCAGTAAAAAAAAAATTGACAGACAGATGGCCTAATTTTCAAAAGCCTGGAGAAGTCCAAGGGCCCACTGATTCCAGTGGGATTTGTGGGTGCTCAGCAAGTCTTTCTCAAAGCACACGTCTCTTACACACAGATATTCTCAGGTGGAAAGGTTCTACAGAGAAGGACAAAAACATTCACACAAAGATTTTAAAAATATGTCTGTCTTTCTAAAGTTAAGTTCCTAGGTCCATAGCTAGACACAAAAATAAGCGACTTGATCTTTCAAAACTGCTGAGCACCCAGGAAATCCCACTGGCTTAAAACCAGGTCTCTTATTTAGATGCTTAACTGTGGATTTAGCAGCCTAATTTTTGACAACCAGGTTTGAAAATCCTATTAAATATTTCAAAGTGCAAAACTGTGTTACCTTCTTTTCTGACAAGTCATGATCAAGCTCATCTTCAGAATCCTCTTCGCTCTGCTGCTGCTGTTGCTCCTGCATGTCCTTCATTTTAATCAGCAATTCTGCTTTTGGTGCAGACGTGCTGTAGTAAGTGGAATTGGTTGTCAAGGAGATGGCAGAAGGCATGCCCTGCTCCTCTTTCCTGGTAAAAAGTCATAACTTTAATTAACTGCCTGACATCCTGAGCACTGAAAAGAGAGAACAATCTTTCAAACCCATCATTTTGCCAAGTAAATGCACTGTTTAATGGAAAGATGATAACTATGGTAACAATGCAGGGTCAAATGTCTGAGGAAAAATTGCCACACCGTCAGTCACCAAAGCTAGTTATCAATTTACGCAATTAAAAGGAACTAGCAAAACCTCCAGATGAAAGCATTTATTTTCAGTCTGTCTTTTAATTGCACTTTGTATCAGTGATTAAACCATCATTTACTATTCTTGATTACACAGGCATTGGTATGAAGGCAGTGGTTTTGTCTACATCTGTGCTCTCACTGGTTAGTGATTCCATAATCCTCAAAACACATCTTTTGGTGAAAATGCAGCAGATCACATTTCATTTTCTCTACTATGAACCTTAAAGATCCTATTACTTTATGCAACACTCTTTTGACTAGTTGAAAAGTGGCCTTTAGGGGATTTTAAGAGACTCAGGAAGTAGAGTAATAAAAACAGAAATATTAGCAATGATCAACAATACCAAAAATACAATAGCTGATGAAGCAGTACTGAATTTTCAAAATGCATGTAGTAAACATTTTTAAAATGAAAGAATTAGGACATTGTTAATGACCTGCTTAAAACTCCCCTATCTCTTGACTGGCACATTGTTACGCAAGCATGACTATCTCCAGCGCCAAATTAATTCAATGGAAGTAGCAGGATTCACAAAAGGATCAGACATTTACATAAGTAACAAGAATATCCAGTATTATAATAGTAAAACAAAACCAAGACATTTAGAAGGGATATAAACTTCCATGCTTCTGGACATAGAGTGGCTTCTAACTATTGGAGGTCAGGCAGAAACTTTCCCCGAGGGCAGATTATCCCACAATTATTTATTACAGGCTTTTTTGCATCTTCCTCTGTAGTGCTTGGTGTTGGTCACTGTTGGAGGTAAAATATTGGATTAGATCAGTGATTCTCAACCCGCGGGCTGCTTGCGGCCCAATCAGGACACAGATCCGGCCCATGTGACATCTGCAGGGCCATACAGGTAGTATATATATTGTGTGAATGTGGCACACAACACAGAGAACTGCATATGTGGCCCACAATGGTAAATAGGTTGAGAACCACTGCTTTGATCCAGTATGGCAATGCCTGTGTTCCTGAGTGTGCATGATTGTTGACAGCTCTAGAAAATGACTGCTTCCCTAGATCCAGATACCAGCTATAACAAGGACAGTGACAATGCAAGCTTCTCCATAACCCCATCCAGTATTGAGGCTTCAACCTGGAGGGACTGCCTCTGAGATTAGGAATGTGTGTCTGCTGAGATTGCTCACAAGGATGCCAGTTAATATCAACTGCGATGAAAAATTTTGTGATGTCAGCATCTGTCCACTAACACACAAGAAAACCTTAGTATTGAGAAGCCTTCACCATTAATGTGAGAGAAACCTAAACAAAGTTTGTCTCACACAGGCAGAAATTTTGATGCAACAGCCTTCAAGTTCCACTTTAATAAGCACTACAAAGACCTCAGAGCCATTACCTGTGAGAACAGTTAGAAATCGTTTTTAAAAGTTTCCACAGTGTATTGATTATAACCACCCTTCAGGCTACCACATTCAGGGCATTACACAATATAAGGCATCTCATCAAACTTCAGGACAAAGTTATATCTGAAATTACACCAACACTCAGAGATCAAAGATCTGTATGATTCAACTGCTTTTTTGTTATATTTTACTATGCTGTTCTCATTCTCAACTAGGTAATAACTGGTTACTTTGATCCAGTTTATATTATCTATGTTCATTTTAAGTTTTCTTTGTAAGCCTTATTGATATTATAAATACTAAAACATTGCTCCTTTTCCTGTCTGGACCCTATCACACTGGATGGTTTTAGTGAAATTTCTAAAGCCTTTGAGAAATGTCTCATGATAGAATTCTAATTATTCCTTCCCAAACTCCCTTATGTGATTGTTTAGCTTTTCCCAGTTTGGTTGTGGTGTAATGTAATAAATATTTTACGCCATAACTAACTCGTAACTTTTTACGAGTTAGTTATGGTGTAAAATATTTATTTATATACATGTATGTTCTTTGTAATAGGACCCTAATTTTTGCTCCTTTGATTATTGGTCTGGTCAATAAATGACACTGCCAAAACCATCATTTTAATGGGAAAACCTAAAAATTAACAGTATGAAGAAGGATCCTTAAATGTTTAAGGGAGAAACACAATGTTGGACAGCAACAGGGGAAAGGTCACTGGATTATGGAAACACTTTACTCACTTTTCCTCTGCAATTTTTGGAGAAGGAACTTTTGGTAGGAGCTTTCTGCGTTGTTGAGCTTCTTCTAGGAGGTGTTCGTCTTTAGGGAAGATTCCCACCATCAGATCCATCGTAGTTTTTATTTTCACAGTAGGATCCAAAATATCTGCTAGAGATTTATCTTTTCCGACAATCTCTCTGGCTAGTTCCTCAGACTTCCAGTCTTCAAAGGTCTTCTCTTTGGCCTTCACGTAGCTGATTACAGGGATGGAGGCATCGTTGTCCTTCAAGTTGTTCCCAAGTGCTTCGGCTGATTGCAAGTCAGGAAGTCTGGTTTTGCTCTCAGGCTCTGGTTCTACGCCCCGCCTTGTGTAAGCACAGAAACGCGAGTAGGATTGCTCAGAAGTACTGAGTGTTTTAATCTGGTCCTTCTCCAAACCACTAGGTAAGGCAGGAGGCTCCATGGTGCTCACGAGGTTCTGGCGACTTTCCTTCTCTGCATTGCTCTCAGAATGAACTATCTTGATGGGAACCATTTTTACTGTAGTGTTGTTATCGATCACTCTTTCAATTCTGGAAAAAAAGAAAGGGAAATTAACTGTTATAAACTCAAGATCTTTTTATTCTGCTTCTTATCCACAAAAAGGGAAAAGGTGTCAGTCTGTATGCTAACAAAGATCAATTTATTAATACAAGGAAATCTCTTCTCATATCACATCTCAAAGCCTCAACTTAGAGATCTGCCATTTCTCATACATTTTAAAAGTAAGCCATTATTTCACTTATACAGATCTCCAGCATTAGCCTCACACTACACAAAACATGACTTTTCTACAGGCTACAGGACTGACAAAGTACGATTCTTACAACTGTCTTGAAACAGTTCAAAACATGAGTATGAAAAATGCAGGTTTTTTTTTTTTTTTTTTTAAAACTTTGTATGAAAAAATTAAAAGCATCATAATCAGAACCTAGTTTATCTTTGAATAAATAGAAAAAAAGAAAAAATATTTAAAAGAGAGGGAAAGAAGAAGAAAAAACAGCTACTCATAAAAGAATAATTATATTTAAAGCTTTAGTTTTTGTCATGGATATTTTTAGTAAAAGTCACGGACAGGTCACGGGCAATAATGAAAAATTCACGGAAGCCTGTGACCAGTCCTTGACAGGTGGATGGGAGCAGTGGGGATGGGCCGCCTGCCGAGGCCGGGAGCCGCGGGAATTCCCCCATGCCCACACAGGTGGGGAGCGGCAGGGGTCCCCCTGCTGCCTGCGGTGGACAGGAGTGGCAGGGATCCCCATTGCTGCCTGTGGCCGGGCAGCAGCGGGAAGCAGCAGGGCTCCCCCCCTCTGCTGTCTGAAATCATGGAGGTCTTTGGAAGTCATGGATTCCGTTACTTCCATGACTAAATCGAAGCCTTAATTATATTCAATTCTGCATTGTTTTGTCAGTGACAGCCTATTGCAGGGATCCTCGAATACATACTGCTGAGCTATCTTGTGCTTAAGACAAGATATTCAATCAAGAACATGTCTTTTTTTAATGGTAATTTAGATTTTAAATGAGAAAATAACATGTTAGATCAACCGCAGCTGTTTATACTACTGGAGTGTGTGCGCTGTATGTACAGTATAAAACCAAAACACAGACGGGGTGGTTTCAAGTTTGAAGAAAGTTTAAAATTATTGCTTTAATGTTGTGGGTTTAGAAAGTTTAGCCCCAGCAAAGGAACATTGCTAAAATATCTGGTTTCTGCTGGCTGGCTTTCTTTTAGATTAGTGACTGAGAGACATACACATATAGCTCCTTGGCTATATGTCTGGCTGTGTCCCAGAATTAAAAATAAAGCTATACTTTACTGTACTTTCATGGTGAACAGAAAATAAATCAATGTTGTACTCCTCTGCAGTTGTAATCTATATATTTATATTTGTGTCTGTATGAATGTACAGACTATATTACACACATTCACTCAACCCTATATGAAATGACATATGTAGATGATATTTTGACTATACTGCATATGCAATATTCTGATAGATCTAAAAAAGAATTCTTCTTAAAAAAAGGGGGGGGAAAAACACACCTCAAATCCTTCTCCAGTAAGGATCTTTTCAGACTGTCAGTTAGTTTGGAAAGTTCACACTCAACTCTGTCTTTCGCTCCAAGCTCTCTCAGCTCATGATTCAGCAAATCACCTAAGCATGTGTTTAAGAACCAGTGACTTCAATTGGACTTATGCACAAAGAACATGTTTAAGAGCTTTGCTGAAAAAGGACCTTATTTCTTTTTTTCTTAAACAACAACAACAAAACTTCACACGGAAGAACCTTAAACCCACCTTAAAAATGAAAGACAACAATTCTACACTAAAATTGCAAGCATCAGTTGAGTGATAGTGTTATCACACTGCCCAATATCAAAAATATAGGGTGAGATTTTCTAGAGTGCTAAGCATTACCATAACTCTAATCTACCCGAAGTCAGCGGTAAAATTCCTGTTGACTTCAGTGGGAACAGAGAGAGACGAAAGCTGGGTGCTTTTGAAAATCTCCTCTGCAGCATGTTTAAATTGATGCATGCACACACACACCCATAAGACCCATTACATATTTCCTAATCTATTGTATGAAATTCCAAATCCTCATATAAACTACACTTGTGGCTATCACTAAGCTGAGCCCACAAAATGGCATAATTGTTTCCATAGCATAAGGACACACAAATTATTACAGAGTAGCTGTTGCTGCTCTGTGGTAAATGTTGAAGCCAGCATCCCATCATAATCCCAGTTTTTATTCTCTCCTAATGACCTCAAAAATGAAAGTGATCCCAGGAAATCTGGCATCCAGCCTCTTATACTTGAGAATAGATATTTTCCCAGAAGTTTAGGAAAATTCAGAAAAGGAATTTGGAAAATAAAGGGGTTTTAAAACTTCCCCACAGTTCACTTAGTCAGAAGTGCCCTAAATTAATGTGTGTGTGGTGCGAAGGGGAATATGGAGGTTGTGGGGTATAGGAGACCGAGGAGAAACGCAGAGGAGAAAGAATCAGATATAGAGCAGGGGACAAAGGACCAGAAGAGACATGGCTTGGGTGGGGATCACACAGAAGGATTGGCGGTAAGTTTCTTCCCTGCTTTTTGAATGACCATGTACTAGGCATGAGGGGGGCACAAAGTGGTACTCCTGGGAGAATTCTGTGCCACTGCGCAATGCAGAATTTTGCAGAAAATGGTGTGCGTGCAGAATTTCCTCCCCAACCCTGAAATGAGCTGCAGAGATATTGGCCACCACTAGGGGCTGCTGGACTTGGAAGAGCGCAGCTCTCAAATAGAAGACAATGCCAGGGGGAAGTGGGAGGGAACTGGAGGGTTCCCAGCAGCTGCAGAAGAAAGGACGCGGTGTGCAGGAAACTCTGTGCAAGCCTGGGACCCAACATCAGGCTGTTTCTCCCTCTGGATACCTGGCCTCTGGGGGGTAGAGGGTTCAAGTGTCTGGGCTTGGGGGGAGGACGAGGCTGGGCTCTGGGGGGTAGAGGGTATACATGTCTGGGCCAGGGAGGGCCCCATGCCTGGGCTCTGGGTGGAAGGAGGTGTGAGTGTCTGGGCTGGGAGGGCATGGCTGGTCTCTGGGGAGGCAGGGCAGGGCTGGGCTCTGGGGGGAATGGGGTGTGAGTGTCTGGCCCCCCAGCTGGGCCCTGGGGAGGGGGCAGAGAAACAGGAACTGGGTTGTCATAGGGATTTCTTTAACTCTCTACTCCTGGGGGAATTTTTGTGTGTGTCTGTATTGTTACAGACATACTTGCTGACAGGTATTTTGAAATAAATTACCAAAAATAATTGAAACTAGCATGATTATGTAGTGTTATTTTGACAAATAAAATTTGCAGAATTTTAAAATATTGTGTGCAGAATTTTTAATTTTTTGGCACAGAATTCCCTCAGGAGTAAAAGTAGGGGGAAGCAGATTGGCAGAATATGGAGGAGATGACTGAAGGGGAGGAGGGCAGGGGCAAAAGAAATGGAATGAGGTTGAAAGTGACTGGGGGAAGCACAGAGAATGTATGTGCAAGGGAAGGCACAAACACAGGTGCAGAGACCTTGAGGAGGTATCGATCGGAGTGCAAAGGACCTGGGGAGGAGCATGGGGAGTGGAAGGGAGATACTAGGGCACTCTAAGGGGCAGAGGCCATGGAGGTGGGGGCAGAGGACAGCAGACTTTGGAGAGGTGGAATTACGGAAGGTGGGTGCAGGGAAATTGGGGAAGGTATGCATCCATGGATGGATGGAAAGGTGGCGTCTTATACAAGTTAAATATCTAGAATACATTAAATGCCTAGAGCTGCTCATGTGATGAAAGCTCCCCCCTCTTCTCCACACCCCTTCATACCCTGCCTTGATATTACTCCCCACTGCACACACACCTCCCATGGACGTGCTGAAATCTGCAGAAGAGGAGCCAGGTTTGGGTGGGAGACCCTGTCTGTTGAAGCATGGGTTTCCTCACCTCCTCTCCCTACGTCCTAATCCAATTTACATTTTTGGTGCCCATTAAGAAAACAGGGAAATTCACAAACAAACAAAAATGTAGTTGAAGAGTTCAGGTTGAAAGAGTGCTTGAATGGAGTCCAGCCAAGGCTCCCTCCTACCCCAAACTGCGCTCTCCTGACAAAAATTCTATACTTGTTAAAAGACTAGCAAGATGTACAGGTAAGGGAACCAGCCTGCTCCCTAGTGCCCCATGACTTCCACTACTCATGCAAACTTAACTTTGCCGCCTTGTTTTGTTCTATAATGAAATATGCTGTTGAGAGCATACAACTGATTTTACACATTACGACAGATTGTACACACTCTCTAAGGGATATGGACACCCAAATCTCATTAAGATTAGTGGAAATTGGGCATCCAAATCCCCATGGCAATCTTAGTCTAAATATATAGTCAAGAGTTCCAAAGAGGCATAATCCCAGGGCATACAAGTTATTAGATTCAATGCTGGGGTAGGTAACTGGGTGAAATTCTATGGCCTGTGATATACAGGAGGTCAGACTAGTTTGTCCCTTCTGCCTTAAAAATCCATGAAGCCACATGAACACTGAAGAAGGTTTTCTCACAGTATTAGGTGATGGTGGACTAGAAGAATGTACATAGGAATAAAAAGAGTGGAATGACTGATAAGGTGTTTTGTGTGTGATAAGCTGTTTTTGGATCTTGCATGGTTATATAAGTATGTGGAAAGGGGAGAGAATTTTGACATGGAGGTAAAGGGACCTGCAAAGGTATGGAGATGTATGCAGAAGAGGATTGCTTACAAGTTTGGATATTGAATCATATTAATTATATTGTTTAGAAATTACCGGTAATACACACAAGATTTTTTTTGGTAGCAAGCTATTCAATAGTTTACTGGAAATGTATCTCTTAAATATAAATTGGACTATAATATTCCTGCTCTTTATTTTGTAACTGACATTTTTGTGTGTGCAAATTTAAGGATTCAAAGTTATAGTTGAATGGGCAGTGTAAGTCAGGTGGGGCAATGGTAAATGAAGGAGAATTATATGGCAGTGGAGAACTATTACATTCCAAAATTACTAACGATTGTGTCATTTTTTAAGAGTATTTGGTTAAAAAAGTGTAATTTTACTGGAAATACTCAGAAATACACTTTCAACCTTAACTCTTTTAAGAACGTTTTTCAATTATAACTATATTTTACACACCATAAGTACAGTGTATTTCTCCATGCAATAAAATAATTCTAGCTAAGATGTTGCAGAAATTGCCATGCCTTTACATTATCAGCAAGATATCTTCCCTACAGAAAGACAGATGCATATTAACAGTACCAGACACTAGGAGCCTACAGTACACACACTAACATTCCTGAAAACTGGCATGCAAGGAATCAGAAAGTGTTAAGCATCATTGTTAAATTGAATGCTAAACTACTCAATGTATTCCACTTATGAAATAAGTACAATAGAGAACAGAGATATGACACACATTTTCCCTCTTGTTACAGTAACTTTCATTAGGTGAGTAATTTGAGGACAATAAATTGTATACATACTCAAGGTCAGCGGTGGAGATTTTTAAAGTGTTAATGGAAGATGTACGGCTAAATCCCCATACACTGTTTTCAAAATGTCAACCAATATATGTGCATATAATCAGGCACATCAACATTAAAGTTGTGTAAAAAGGCAATGCCAAATAAACTTAATTTACCATGTAGTCTTCAATATCTATTCACAATGCAGTACGGGAAGGAACTCATTACTGTAATTCACCATTGTGCCTAGGATTGGAGATCATATGCTATATTTCACTTATTGTAATAAGAATAGCCATGCTGGGTCAGACCAATGGTCCATCAAGCCCAGTATCCTGTCTTTTGACAGTGGCTGGTGCCAAATGCTTCAGAGAGAATGAACAGAACAGTCTATTATCAAATAATCCATCCCCTGTTGTCCAGTCCCAGTAGGATTGCCAACCCTCTAGGATTGTCCAGGTATTAAAGATTAATCCTTAATTAAAGATTATGTAATTTGATGAAACCTCCAGGAATATGTCCAACCAAAATTGCCAGCCCTAGCTTCTGGCAGTCAGAGATTTAGGGACACCCAGAGCATGGGGTTGCATCCCTGATCATCTTGGTTAATAGCTATGGATGGACCTATCCTCCATGAACTTATCTAATTCTTTTTTTAACCCAGTTAAACTTTTTTGCCTTCACAACATCTCCCGGCAATGAGTTCCACAGGTTGACTGTGCATTGTGTGAAGATGTTCTTCCTTATGTTTGTTTTAAATGTGCTGTCTATTAATTTCACTGGATGACCCCTTGTACTTGTGTTATGTGAAGGGGTAAACAACACTTCCTTATTCACTTTCTCTACATCATTCATGATTTTATGACCTCTATCATCTCCTCCCTTAGCCATCTCTTCTCTAAATTGAATAGTCCCAGTCTTTTTAATCTCTCCTTACATGGAAGCTGTTCCATGCTCCTAATAATTTTTGTTGTCCTTCCCTGTACCTTTTTCAATGCCAATATATCTTTTTTGAGATGGGGCAACCAGAACTGCATACTATATTCAAGGTGTGGGTGTACCATGGATTTATAAAGACATTATGATATTTTATGTCTTATCATCTATCCCTTCCCTAATGGTTTCTATCATTGTTCCCTTTTTTCATTGCCATTGCACACTGAGTAGATATTATCAGAGAACTATCCATGATGACTCCTAGATTTCTTTCTTGAGTGGTTACAGCTAATTTAGACCCCATAATTTTTTATGTATAATTGGGATTATGTTTTCCAATATGGATTATTTGGCACTTATCAGTATTGAATGTCATCTGCCATTTTTTTGCCCAGTCGACCAGTTAAGAGAGATTTCTTTGCCATCAGCTTTGGCCTTAACTATCTTGAGTAATTTTGTATCATCTGCAAATGTAGCCCTGTGTTCACCCCCTTTTCCAAATCATTTATAAATACATTGAATACGTTTCCTTATTTTGCTTTCTGATGTAACCATCACAGCATTGAGATGTAGTTTTCAGTACCTGAATTTCCTTATATTGAACAAAGAAAATACTAGGTCTTTAAAGAAACAAATTATAGCAATTTATAATTAGTGGATTACAGTGCAAGTATTTCACCAAATTCTTGTGCTTAAAAAAAACAACCACCACCTCTTCCCCCTCTCCCCCGGAAAAACCCACACTACACATGCATACAAAATTTTAACCTTCTGGAGTCCTCAAGTTCTTTACTAAGATAAAACAAATGATGATTGAAGGATACTGTCTTCTAGAGAGGCTTCATTAAAAACAACAAATTTTTGCCACAAAAGGTGCTCAGAAAAGGAAAAGGTAATTTGCTAGCTATGAAGTCACATGTTATGAAAATCATGAGGTGCCAAAAAATCTAGAAAACATGCAGCAGCAACATCAATGTGTCAAAAATGCTTTCATTTTACAAATGCCATTTTTGATCCTGAAAAACTGAAAATAGAACGGATAAATCTATATTGCTACTGTGGACAATAACCGGACATGCACACAGAGAATGCACTGGGAACATATTGGAAAAAATATATATCATTGCTGACCTTTAAAGAAAAATATGCCTCTTTCACTCAGCATAGCAACCTCAATACTCATTTAACGAGTATCGTTTGTTTCCACTTTTCAACCATGAATTATAATGTCATATTAAGTTTTTAATGAAAACTTATATTCCTGAGCCTTCTGGAAGGGTTTATTATGTAGCAGGAAAATGACTGTTTATGACATCATTGTATGCAGTGTTGTTGCAGCCATGTCAGTCCCAGGATATTAGAGAGACAAGGTGGATGAGGATTGGACCAACTTCTGTTGGTGAAAGAGATAAGCTTTCAAGCTTACACAGAGCTTTTCTTCAGCTCTGGGAAATGTCCTCAGAATGTCACAGGTAAATACAAGCTTGTATTTACCTTGTATTTAGCGGTGACACTCTGAGTACATTTCCCAGAGCTGAAGAGCAGCTCTGTGCAAGCTCTAAACAGAAGTTGGTCCGATAAGATATTACCTCACCCACCTTGCCTCTGTTTATGATATTGGCAGCATGGGATGCCATACAGCAGACTATAAACCAGCTTATATTTACTTCAACATCAGACACAAAGTGTATGAAAATTGGGAAAGGAGGAGTGGTAGGGGGAGGGAGAAGACTGGTTTACATTCTCTGACATTAGCTTCCAAGTCAGGTGATATAAAAAGTGACACCACTTGTTAGCACCCATCAGTAGACTGCTCAGGAATGCCAAGCTGCATTAAAAACTTTTATTTGGCGGAGGGGAAAAAAAAACCCACAAAATTCATAATTGGCAGATAAGCGTACCTCACATGTAAGCCTTTGGGATAGGTGCCACCAAAATGAATGCAATTTTCTTGCACAATAATTGTTTTAGCTCCCTGCATGTAGTGGGTTAGAAACCACCCCATAGCTGGGCAAACATTTCATCCCATTTAGATAGTTTCTGTAATGGAAATTCCAGTTAAAATTTTAGAACGGAGCAGCATTTCTATTGATCTACTGTCCTTCAGCAGAAACCAAGACAGACCAGTTGAATGATAGCAATGGAATTAACTAGAATTTCAAATATGGTTTAGATATTTGTTGCAGCAGTTGCTATTGCCCTACAGAAGTGTGTCACTTGCAAGACATGCTGGAAAGGTTAATACTGAATAGACCCAAAGGCGGTTTCTTCACACTTCTTCACTAAAAGTAACAGCCAATTGTTAACAAAACCTAACATGGGGAAGGGGCTTCTAAAAGGCACATAGTTGTAAAGGCACAATACCTTGCTGGGTTCTCATCCTGGACAGATACAGGAGGCTTGTCAGTCAGCTTCTGTGGAGCAAACTGAGGTGAAGGGGACCTTGACGTCTCCATTCCAGGTTTCTGAAGGTAGCGATACTTTGAAGACAATACAGGTTCAGATTTAAGATGTGCTTTCTCTTCTAAGTGCTGACATACATTCTCTGTGGATGCTGTTTGCCGGAGCCCCTGAGGATGAGCGCTCTTTAGTTTTCCATTGAACGCTGCAGGACTCTGAATGTAACCTGTAATTACCTCACCAGAGCTGGGGGAAATGGATTGAATGGGCTTCCTGGGTACTGCCAGCAGCGATTCTGAAGAGATGCTGAGTGAGGTGGAATTGTCCTGGCCCCTGTATTTATTATCTCGTTTGGGTGGGGGAGGCCTCTGAGGGACAGGTCCACGTCTCTTGTTCAGCAATGTCAGCTCTGTCCACTGACTTTCCTCTCCTCTGCCTTGTGGCAGACAGGAGTGGCTCTCCTGCAGTGTCTGCGGCTCAGAATAAGTGAGAAGGGGCAAGCTGCAATCCTTGCTTTTCTCATTCACGTTTTCCTGGGAGTATCTGTAATCACTGGGCAATGTCCCGGATCTTCCCCGGCTCTCTTGAGACAAGACAATAGGTTCTCTTGTTTGAAATGGTCTAACAGATGCCTTCCATTTGGGTCCTAAATTTTGGTCCAGCTGAGCCCTTTGTTCTCCTGGGTTATCTTCTGGGAATCCTGTTTCAGCTTGCCTAGAAACAGAAGAAAAATCAAATCATTAGTCAGTTACTGTGCTATTATTTCGTCCTGTGTATTGCTACAGAAGTACTGGGAAGCTTGGAGACAGATTATGTCTGCCATATAATATTAACTAACAGCTACAACCTACTTTAAAATATATATAATATTGTATTTCTAATGTAATGTGATGAGTCAAAGCACAATGTCGGTCTAAATTAGGTTATGTTGTGTCATGCAATGTGACATAGCCTTGAGTTACCTGAGGCACTACAATGCACATGGTATATCTGAACATGCAAGAGTATTTTCTTCTAACTTTTGTGTAAATTAAAAGAATGGCTTCCTTGTATGACCTTCAACACTCAATTAACATTTCTTTCAATTTCCAAGTAAGTAATGAATGCAGTGTCTAACTAAATGCAGATTGCCAAACAAGTCCGCTCTCTATTATTTTAAAATAGTATACTAGACATCATAATTCACAGCCCTCATTCATATGGCAAAATTAACATAATCTTGGGGTTTAAATTTGCAGATATAAATTACTGATGCAAAATTAATACATACTGACAAAAGCATCAAATGCAGTGGTACTGATAGGGTGAGGGAAGAGACATCTTTTAGAAACAGAAAATAAAGGTACAATATTTTGGATCGAGGTCTATATTAGGCTTAACAAATAAATCAGATAGAGTCTTTGTCCTTACAGCATGAAGTATTGCTGTGGCTAACAAGTCCTGTCTCATCTTATACAGATATTTTTGTTTTACTCCAGGTCTATATTTCTCTTTGCTTTGTAGTCACCAGGTTGAAGCAACTCAAGGCTGGTGCCAAGCACAAGAAGTATAGTTGAGTTGTCCTCACCAGAGAAAGACACATCAGAAAAGAAAGTAAGTTAAAGTACCTCGGAGACCTAGAAAGAAGGCAGGTTTGTTCTCTGCTTAGGGGAGGCTGGAGAGATACTGTGAGCTGAGAAAAGAAGCTGTAACAGAAAAGTAAAAGATTTCAGAGTATATTATTTCATTTGCGCCACTGGAGGTTTTGTTATCTGTATTTGGAAATGAGACTGGGCAAGTGTAAGAGGGACTACAAGTTTTCTTTAAAAAAATAAACAAACTAAACTGGAATGCTTGACCAATGAAACACAACAAAATGAAATCTGACATCAAGGGTTACATTGCGACTTTATCAATCTATTGATTTCAGCATGATTCTACACTGGAAACCTTCCTTTACTGATTGCAGGTGTTATTTCCACAGGCATTAAAAAATAGTGCGTACTCATATTTGATTTCATTTTTAAAAGGCAGATCAAAATATGCTTATTTCTATTTTAACTTCAAAATGTCAGAGTTTTTCACCCCCTTTCTGTCAAAATACCATACTTTAAAACAGAGGGTTGAAAAACCTAGTACAGGTAATATAAAGATCATCCATTATTAATTTTTTTTTTTTGAGTAGGGTACCAAACCTCCATTTTTCCATATGGCACCTGGAGCTTAGTCCCTTGCATCAAGTACATCATATTGGAAATTACATTGAAATTATGTTGTGTCACAACATGAAAACTTGATAACTGAATCAAGTTATCACTAGTTCCTCAGTGTGCTGTCTGGAGACAAAGTAGAAAAATTCAAGTTGCATGGGTGCCATTGCAAATTTTCTCAACAGCTGAAGATGTGTTTTCCCAAGCAGGTCATGGTGGGAGGTAAAACAATGACTCAGTTACCTAAGGTTTGCCATGCTGATAAGTGTAGTACTATAATTTTGTTTCTGTATTTTACTAAGATGCCCTAAAACCTCATGTTTCTTTCCTTCTAAGGCTGATAAACCAGACAGTGTCTGAAACAAACAAAAGGCCTGATTTCAAGCAAAAAGGTCACACCAAGTGTGGAAAAGTGGGATTATTTTGTAATATTTGTATGAAACCTATGTGGGCCACAGTTTCCCTATATGCTACATTATTACCTAGGGGTCTCTGGCAGGCTAAGACACAGGTATCAATGGTGCCTAGCTGTCTGGGTCTTAAGTCCCATATCAGTGGAGTTCCTCAGAATACAATGGCAGATCCCATTGCCCTGTCATTGACACCTAGCAAACAACGACCATAGATTGCTCCCCCTCTCTGCAGGAAGCCAAGCAGCATTTCCCCAGTGGGAGAACAAAGGTCCAGAGGAGGGTTAAAAGTGGACTGCGGGAAGAAGGCAAGCACACCTGGAAGTCTGATGGATTACGGTTGGGCTCTGAGCTAACCAGAATGGACTATGCTTTAATCTTCATTCCTCTATGCTGGGGTGGGCAAACTTTTTGGGCCGAGGGCCACATCTGGGTGGGGAAATTGTATGCAAGGCCAGGGCAGGGAGTTGGGATGCGGGAGAGAGTGCAGGGTGTGGGAGGGGGTGTGGTGTGCAGGAAGGGGCTCAGGGCAAGGGATTGGAGCCGAGGAGGGGTGGGGGTGTATGAGGGAGCTCAGGGAAGGGGGTTGGGGTGCAAGAGGGGTGTGGAGTGCAGGAAGGGGCTCAGGGCAGGGGGTTGGGGTGCAGGCAGGGTGCGAGGTGCAGGCAGGAGCTTAGGGCAGGGAGTTGGGGGGTGGGGTGCAGGAGAGGTTCGGGCTCCGGCCCAGCGCCGCTTACCTAAAGCGGTTTCGGGATGGCAGCAGCACACACCAGGGCTAGGGCAGGCTCCCTGCACGCCTGCCCTGTTCCCGGCCCCGCGCCGCTCCAGGAAGCGCTGCACCCCCTGGAGAAGGGGGACGGAGGGCTCCGCGTGCGTTCCCCATTCCCAGCCAATGGGAGCTGCGGGGGCTGGTGCCTGGAGGCAAGGGCAATGCCCAGAGCCCTCTGCCCCGGAGGCTGAAGGGATGTGGTGCCGGCCGCTTCTGAGAATGGAGTGGGGCCCACGGCGCCATGGGGGGCAATCCCGCAGGCCGGATCCAAAACCTTGAGGGGCCGGATCTGGCCCGTGGGCTGTAGTTTGCCCACTTCGCTCTATGCCAATTTAAGAACTTCTTCTGCTGTGTTCCAGATGACTAATAAACCCTACTGTTTTCACAATGCTGTGTAAGAGTCACTGCAAATGCTTGGAAAGGTGCACTGATCCCTAAAATGTGTACAATTCTCTATCAAGGGTCTGTCTCATTTAGACTAGCTGAACAGAGCTCACGGCATGAAGCAGGAGTGCTGCAGGCCCAGTCTAAGGAGGTGGTGAAACTGTGTTGCTTATCCTGGAGGAAGAGCGAGATCCCCAGGGGAGTCTGCCACATTGGAGAGGCTCCTCCTAGAGACTGTTCCAAGGCTGAGGGGCCATAACACTCATTCTGTGGATCTGGGACACCAGGTAATCCTAGGGCTTGTCTACATGGTGCCGGCAAAGGGCACTAGAGGGGTGTACAATCTATAGGATGGTTTGGATTAAGACATAAGTAGAAGTTAGGTTTTGGGCTACCATTGAAGCGGTGAAATTGACAAGAAAGCTGGCTCCCATCTCCCAGCCAGGCTGCTGCCGGGTCTCTGCTCCAAACTGGGCTGCCAACCAGGCTCCCCAGCTTGGGTTGCCTCCTGGGCTCCCCACTCCCCGCTGGGAGCCCTGTGGCTCCCCAGGGTCCTGGCTCCCTGCTCCCTGCCAGAAGCACGGTAGCCGACTGGACTCCGGGCGCAGATCTCCGCACCGGAGGCGAGAAGCTCCCAGCAGCTGCCTCCAACTCCCGGCTGGGAGCGTGGAGGCAAGAAGCCCTGGGAGACTTTCTCCCTGCTCCAGGCTTGGAACGGGAAGCCCTGAGGGGCAGCAGGGCTCTCAGTCCCTCACACTGTCTCCCTTCAGTCCGTGGAAATGCTCCTGGTGAGGACACCCACCACCGACAGAAGGAGGGTAGTGTGGACATCAGCCACCACAGTAATTACTACTAGTTAAAGTGTAAAAAAAAGTGAAGAAAAAAAAAGAACTCAGAGATAAGTTGGAGACAGAGTGTCATGGGAAAGTAAGAGTTAGCAAGGACATAACCCAAGGTTATGTTACCATTATGTTTTTGGTTATAATTGGTTCGAGTAAGGTTTTTTAATGATTGCTTTTGAAAATTGTGAATGTTTTATTAAAATGCTATCTATTTGGATAGTATGAGAAGAACTTTGGTGCAAATGTTAATTTAAATAATGGATAACAAAGAGCCATTAAGAAGGTGGCGGAAATATAATTATGGTAAAGGGTAGTTTAATGCTAATTAGAACTATAATGGAGTATAAAAAGTAAATTTTGCTAAATTGCAAGGGAGCTCCTATTAACCTTAAAAGGGTACTTACTGCTAGGCTTCAGGATTATAAGGCTCTCCTTCATGCCATTGTCAGTAGGCTGATCATCCATTGCTAGACCATTTCATCTTTGAGTGTGAGTAGAATAGTAGTATTTACATAATTGGTAGTTGCCTGCTTATTTGTTAACTAATCATTTTTCTTTTTAATAGACTTTGGTTGCATCATTCAAAGCGTTGCCTAGTGGTCCTTTACTAAATAAATTTTCTGTAACTGACCTAGAAAACTAAGTTGGGTTTTGTTACACCCTTTTCTTTAACAACTTAATATTAACTGGGAACATTTCAACATAAAGATTACAAAAGGTTACAGATGTGATGGGTTGTGCTCTAACTGCCCCATGTAGACCATGCTGCTGCGCTCTAACAGGTTCCTATGACCTTAATGTGAATTAGGTGCCTTTTAGGCTGCACCAGCAGGCTCTACATGGGGCAGTCAAAGCGCAACATGTTAGAGCATTTTACAGCTCACATCCCTCTGGTGGACTTTGCCATGCCACATAAGACCAGCCCCTAGCATTTTTTCTCTTGTATGTAAATTTGACCATATGAATGACCATTTTTGTTACCCTTTTCATATACCATATATTTTAGTGTTGAACTCACCCTTATTGCAGATCTTTAAATAGAAATGCATGCACATTTTGGCCAGATCCTCATAAACTGAAGTCAATGAAACTATACCAATTATCACTAACTGAGGGTATGTCTACACTACCCGCCGGATCGGCGGGTAGCGATCGATCTATCGGGGATCGATTTATCGTGTGTAGTGTAGACGCAATAAATCGATCCCCGATAGCTCTCCCGTCGACTGCTGAACTCCAGCTCGGCGAGAGGCAGAAGCAAAGTCGATGGGGGAGCGGCGGCCATCAATCCCGCGCCGTGAGGACACGAAGTAAGTGATTCTAAGTCTATCTAAGATACGTCAACTTCAGCTACGCTATTCTCGTAGCTGAAGTTGCGCATCTTAGATCGATCCCCACCCCCGCACCGCCCAGTGTAGACCAGGCCTGAGAATCTGGCTCATGAAGTTTTATCACTGAAATGGGCACTGTCACAGTTGGTGTGTTGACCTACTTGTACAAATGTCTTATCTGAAAGGTCTTGCCTTTCAATATGAAAGGCACATCAAAAAGGACCTTGAAAGTAAGTCCTTCCCAAATGGTTCAGATTACTCCAAAGGTTGTGCCAACCAGCACTGCCAAAGTAAACCAATTTTTAGGCCTACTGTACCACCCTTGACAGTGTCTCGTGAAGTTTTTAATCACACAAATAAAAGGATTCTAATCGGGGAAAAAACACCCATAAAACAAGTATAGTTCATGAAGATTCTTTGCAAATACAAAACAGTAAAATGAGTAGTTCCTTGTGCAGCTGAATGTTGTTTTGGTGCTGTCCACTCAACTATTCTTAAGGTTTTGAGAGCACTTCCACTATAACCCCAGCTTTTCAGTCATATGTAAACACTATTCTGGGCTCAAACTTGATAAACAAAATCCATTTTTGTGCAATTAAGAATTAAGGTAATGTTTTAAACCTAAATATTGCACAAAGAAAAGGTGAGCAGGCATGGATGCCATTTTCACACTCATTACTCAAAAATGACATTTTAGAAGTTTTTTGCCAATATTATGGGTCTGTAATGCATAAAGCACAAAATTACTTCGGAAAATAGT